CATACCTTCACGTCGCATTCCGACCAGAAGACATTTCTGGTAACGACAGTATTGGCATCGATTGCGCAAACGTTTGTCAATTTGACAACGCTGATTATCGTGACAGGTATAGATCAACTCCTTGCGTACGGTCCTTTTGAAAAATCCTTTGCATCCTTCACAGGAAAATACGCCTGTGTGAGAGAGAAAGGGAGTAGTAGTGGTAGTGTCAGTGCAAACGAAAACAACGATACGCATATACATTGAACATTATAACCGAGAGAAAAAAAGCAAAACAAAACAGCTTGGTAGACCCACGAAGGTCCCGGAGACGCATCAAAGATTTTAGGGATAATTAACACTTAGCCACGCCAACTGGCTGTTGGGAAATTTCCGAGAGCCCCCTGCTCTATACCCAATTCTCGTTTACTTCTATTACTAAACTAAGTAGATAAGAGGAAAATACCAGGAAGGAGCGGTTCTCATTTATTATGAACTTGAACTCCTGACCCATTAGTCAGGAATTTGCAAAACAAAACATAAAGATGAAAGAAAACGACATATTGCTGGGATTATTCCTGCGAAATAAAGAACACATTTTGAGAGAGAGAAATACAAACAGAAGAATAAGTGAACAGCACCATTTTGACGAACAAATTATGAAAAGCAAGTTGAATAAAAAAGCGACGCTTGGGGATTGTTTCAATCTAGCTGTCTTACTCCTATTTCGGTATCCTTTTCGGTTACGGGCCAAATTGACAGGATGAGACGTGTTCTATCGCACGTTGGAGACGGGTGTTTTCGGTTAGAATCGATCAACTCTTTGTACCTCACGATGTGCTTCTAGGCGACCAGGCGTATCTGCCAAATGAGTCCTGCTGAGGAAGCTCCACCCACTACCTCCATGTGGTGGGGGCGTTGCGTCACCAGAACAGCGAAAAATCAATATCCAGAGCTACAACCTGGACCGACGAACCAGACAGTTCGCCTAGGATTGTTGGCCTGAAAATTTTGATTCCAGAGCAAACAAGAGAGCCATGAACCACATCCACAGAGGTCTTCATTGGATGTCGTTCAAGGGGCGTAGGGTCAGATGAGCCGGTTCGCAATGGGTGGTGATTTTCATGCAACACCACACGGTCTCGCGGGTCAGGTTTTGAATGATCGTGGGTTACTGTTCTGAATCCCTGAGCAATCTGGGTTTAGTTCGCTCAATAGCAACTCACCCATTTCTTGTTTATCTATAGATTGTAATACCGTGATTTCTTCGACACTTTGTCCAGACTCGGACTCGGACATCCGTGAAATATGACACTAATAATAGAAAAGTTCAGCCACAAATCTCCATTGACACTCGTTATCCCAAAACTGGCAGCCAGTAGGGGAAAAAACGATACTTATGCTAAAGTACTTTCCCTTTGAAACAATAGATCAAGATAAAGAATATCTTTGTTCTGTTTGTGTCCCAATCAATCAAACATCAAGGTCATAATTAATGGGAAAAATTTGACATTACCACTGTGGTTGTGTTGTGTGTATACACACACACAAACAGCCGGATCACTCCACAAGGCAACACACACGCACACAAACAATCGTACGAGCCGGTGTGCAACTGCGATTCACTCAGTAAACATGGTACGGAACGTGATGGATGCCACCCACAGTCCCGTTGCCAGTACAAACGAATGGTGCCAGTCAATCGGGCACGTAAAATGATGGTCAGTTGACCACGGTCGCAACAGGCATGCACATACGCTTACGCACACAGACACACCGAACGTGAAAGCACAATTTCGCTATCGATTCTTTGACCCGCATTCAGCATTCGATGAATGCGGATCGCGTAGCTGTCTACCGTGCGAGAGACAGCTGATGAATGATGATTATTATTTCGGACGAGGTGGTGTTTGTGTGGCACAAAAAAGATCGAAATATTCGAAATTTACTAATGACAAGCATTTAGTGAGAGTCACAAATGGAACAGGATTCACTCTGTATTTCCTATGTGAACTTGGCACAAATAAGCAACACGGAAAAAAACGGATTGTGCAACATTGTCTCTCCGTGAATTCTATTGCGATCCCATCACTGCAGATAACGTGACTGTATTTCAGTCAGGTGATTTTCTCAAAACACTTCAACTTCAACAACCACTAGTAATCTTTCTACCATTTGGTGGTGGTGGTGGGCAGCTTGACGATCGTTCGGTTTAATATCACACCTCTAACGGGGCGGAACTTTCATATGGTTCACTACTCCA